TGTACAATGTTACCTACGAGAACTTAACAGATGAGGATAATGTATTGGTGTGTGTACAATGTTACCTACGAGAACTTAACAGATGAGGATAATGCATTGGTGTGCGTACAATGTTACCTACGAGAACTTAGTCTATGGTCTCAATGAAAAACTACAGTAATTTACAATGTTTATTGATGTCATTTAAATAACTAATCTATACAAGAAACAAACTGATAATACATGTCTCATGTCATAAATTAATAAACACGAAAATTAAACATAAATAACGATTAGAATGCAGTTGCACATTTTATGCTATATTTTCGACCGAACTCTATCCAGATTATTATATATTTCTGTTTACTAAACCCCATTCAGTGTATTAAATATTTCTGTTTACTAAACTCCATTCAGTGTATTAAATATTTCTGTTTACTAAACTCCATCCATTGTATTTAATATTTCTGTTTACTAAATTCCACCGAGTTTATTAAATATTTCTGTTTACTAAACTCCATCTAGTGTATTAAGGATTTTTGTTTACCGAACTCTATCCAGATTATTTAATATTTCTGTTTACTAAACCTCATTCAGTGTATTAAATATTTCTGTTTACTAAACTCCATCTAGTGTATTAAAGATTTTTGTTTACCGAACTCTATCCAGATTATTATATATTTCTGTTTACTAAACTCCATCTAGTGTATTAAATATTTCTGTTTACTAAACTCCATCTAGTGTATTAAAGATTTTTGTTTACCGAACTCTATCCAGATTATTATATATTTCTGTTTACTAAACTCCATCTAGTGTATTAAATATTTCTGTTTACTAAACTCCATCCATTGTATTTAATATTTCTGTTTACTAAACCTCATTCAGTGTATTAAAGGTTTCTATTTACTAAACTCCATCCAGTCTCCAGTGGTAAGCTCACGGACTTACAACACTAAACTCCAGCGTTCGATTCCAAGCTAAGAACTCTACATAGCTGAATATCATAGTCGACTAAAAAGGTTTTACAGAAAATATACAAAACTGTGGAAAATCTCATTAATATATATATATATATCGTATACTATTGGTAATTTAGAAAATGATACACAAACGAAATATTAGGTTGTATATATTTATATATATATATATATATATATATACTACCACTACAAGTGGCCACTGTTCTTACAA